TTTCCTGCTCCTGAATGAAGCCATGGTGCCACGCAGGAGGCTCTCTCTGCTGGTCTGTGCTCTGTCATTCTCCTGCCTCAAAGGCCTTCTATGGGGAGTCCATCTGCATCTTTTCCACCAGCGTGTGTGGGCACTGTCCTCGGTGCTGAAGCACGCAAACACACACAAACACGCATGCGCGCACAGGACGGGACTGTTCCTCCTTGGGCCCGCACTTGGCTCCTTAGTTCCTCTCTAATCGCAGGTTACCCTCAAAGTCTGGTGTAATTTGGACCTGTGAGGACTCTCAGACCCAGCTTACAGGAAGGCCCTGTTTTGGCCCAGGAGATAACTTTTGGCTCCTTCTGTCTGTAAACATTTCATATGTTGTTTAGAGCTCTCAATGGTCAGAGCTCTCCCAGTGTTTCATATGCTCCACCTGCTCTCTCCTGACCCTGATCTGGGAATCTCCAGTCTAGTCCAGATGCTGGTGGTACAGAGTGAGGCCCCCCAGAAGCGGCTTGCAAGCCAAGGATCCTGCTTGCCCCACTCTCAGTCCAAACTTAGGCTATGTGCATGAACTTTCCCCTGGAGCCCCAGAGCCTCTCACTGTCACCCCCAAGCCAGCAGCATAGGTGCTATGTAGCCTGTCATGCAGTGCTTGGCTACATGTCATCCTCCACTGTTCTGTTAGTCTCCATGACCCCCTAGTTGAGTGGAAAGGTTTTTGAGGTCAGGGATGATAGCCTCAGGCCTGTCGTGGCCAACACAGTGACCCTGTGTTAATCCACTTGTGTAGGTGTACAGTGGCGCTTGAGGCAGGGGATGTGGGGAGGGTGAATGTGGGGAAAATAGAAGTTCCTATGGCCAGGATCCTCACCTGACCCTAACCACTCAATGATGTAATTGGCCTACTGCTAGAGTGATGCTTCCACACCTGCAGGCAGTAAGCTGTTATTGATGGAGTCACTATATAAAGAGCTCTGCCCAGTGCTCTGGGGCAGAGACAGAGAGGAGGTAGATTATGGACCTGCAGACTGCTGGATACAGGCGTGATTCAGTGCTCGACCTACCACCAGGAGAATAAAGCTGGGTATAAAACCCTTTTACCCCAAGAACATTCCACTGTCATTTCTCAGTCTCACTGAATCCATAGTAAACTTGCCTGGGGCTGAAACCCTCAGGCAAGACAGTGACCTTAGAAAGGAGAGAAGCCTTGTTCATTGTCAAGGGGGCAGCCCTCCACGTCAACTAGCCTGGGAACCCTGTGTCCATGCAGAGAGAATCCACATGAGAGTCAAGGCTTGCTTACCCATAAGCAAAGGTCACTTATGCAGTTGTATATTAAGAAAAAAGTGGCATAGAAGAGGATTTTTTTTACCCTCTGGCCCTGACTTATCATGTTTTTCTCCTGTCCAGTGATTCCCTCCCTCCTTGTTCTGTTCATTTATGCACAGGCCCTCCTTATACATCCCGTCCTTATACATTCTGTCCACCAGCACTGCCTTCCCAAATGTGGGCACAGATGGACTTGGAGAACCCAAATATTTGTAGGGGATGGATATGCTACTACATTATGGAAATCTGCAGTGGGGTCAGAATTCATTTGAATACCGTAACTGCGTGGTGCAGTGGTTTAGAGCATAAACTCTGGGCTACCCTCTACGTGCTCCCATCCTGGGAACTCTAATTGTGCATGTAGCAAAAAAAACTCCAAGTCTCAGTTTTCTCATCGTTGAAGTGGGGATGATAATAATTTCTGCTTCCTAGGGTTGTAAGCAATGTAAAGTGCTCAGATGATGTCTGGCAGGCATGAGTGCTGTGCCCATGTCTGCTCTTGTCATCGTGTGGAGTCTGTCCTCCCTGGAGCGGAGACAGCTGTGCACCCAGTGGGGCCTCTCAGAGGCAGCTCCAGTCTCCCTGCCCGTGGGCAGGCCATTGCCATTTCTTCTGCCACATGGTTTAAAGTGCTCATTATTCCTTTGTGATCTGTTCTGAGAGCAGCACAGTTCACCCTGGCATGGGGCCCCCTAATTGCCAGTAAAAGGGGCTGTTGTTATTCTGCAGCATTTAAGTGCTAAAAATGATTCATTGAAGAGGGTGATTGTTTCTGATAAGGCTTCTCAGAACCCTGGCATTGCAGCAACCTGCGGGGCAGGGGCTGGGTGATCTCAGGACTGGGGAGGTGATGGGAGAAAGCTGTGGTCACCAGGAATTACAAACTGAATATAGTCTTGAAGAAGCCAGGGAGGTTTTGTGAAGAGCTCTCAGTGCCTAGACACTGAGGCCTTACACTGAATCAATGATGCTTGGGAATCATCCCAAGGCTAGGATGGGGGGCTAGTGGACAAGGAGGTACAGCAGAATAGTAAAGCCAGAGTTCCTGCTGTTAAGATGATAACAGACTAATTGGGGAAGAATGTGTTAGATGACTGTTTCACAAAGCAGGATCTATGGAACCCTAATCTTGCACAATGCTCTGGAATAAAGAGGAAAGATGGGATAGTTTTCTGGCCAGAGAAGTTTAGGAAATGCTGTATACCCTTTTGCCATCTACTTGAAGAATCAACATCCACCTAAACTAGTAAAAGCCCTGAAAAGTTACGCAATAAAGTAAAACAATCTTTTAACTCAGTGTGCCCCAGACATTGACTAGGGGGCCTTTCTGAACCTCTTTTTTCCCACGGAATTCTTTTTAACATCAAGTGTTTCTTAAAGTGTGATCCATGGACTGCCCCAGCCACACCCAGTTTAAACCACCAACACTCCTGTCCAGGTGATTCAGGTGCACATTGACATTTGAGAGCCAGCACATAGCGTTTCCGAACACCACTGGGGAACTCTGTCTTGAGGAGTCGGGAAGGGAATCAACCACTGGGGCATGCACTGTAACAAAGCTTTTTCTTCCCTTTTTGGGATGAAATTTGAAGGAGGTAGATGTTGCTTCCAAGCACCAGGCTATTTCTTCAGCCCCTGGTGATAAACGATTGCATGCAGTGATTATATGCCTGTCATATCCCATTGCAACAGACTCTCAGGAAATGTCCAGATTCTTGTTACATGCTGTAGTTGTTGTGTCACATAGAGGGACACTAAGGAGATTGTTCACTGTGTCCAAGATTTTCACTATGAGTCTCTCCAGACACTTGCCCTCTCACCTGTTAGGGTGCTCACCCTAATGGGGGTTACCCTCTTACATTCAGCATGGAGAGGCCGATCCGCTTGCTCACAGCCCTTGGAATGTCATTTGATGGCTTGAGGGTCCTCATTCTTGCCCCTTGCTGTCACGTCCACCAGGGCTGCTGAGTCACACAGCTCCAGGGGTACCATCCACATTTCCTTCCTGGAGGTTTGTCTTCAAGGCACCCCGGGACTATGCAAAGATGGCACTTTTGTTCCTCGGCTCAGCATCAGGGTCTGTGGGGATAATGGAAGTCCCTATGGCCAGGATCCTCACCTGACCCTAAACCACTCGATGATGTAATTGGTCTATTCCTAGGCTAATGCTTCCACATCCTAGACAATAAGCTATTATTGCCTGAGTCACTATATAAAGTGCTCTGCCCAGTGCTCTGGGCGGAGGCAGAGAGGAGGTGGATTATGGACCTGCAGCCTGCTGGATGCAGGTGTAAGTCTAGTGATCAACCTACCACCTGGAGAATAAAGCTGAGTATAAACCCTTTTATCCCTTGGCTGAAACCCTCAGGCAAGACAGGGTCACAGTGTCAGTGGGGAGGGAATAGAGGCAGGAGGTAAATCATTGTGAGAAGTAAGGAGACCTAACCCAGTGGAAATGGAGAGCTGAGAACCAGTGGAGAGGCCCCGGGGAGGGGCCATGCAGGGCACAGATGGAGCAAGCACGGTGCAGACACTCCTGCAGCATGGTAGGGCATGGTTGTGCAGGCACAGGTATCTGGAGGTTGAGGTGATGGGGAGGGTGGTGGTCTGAGGAGCAGGATTTTTGCTGGGAATGGATTGTGACATCCCTAAGTTTTCCAGCATTTAAAAGAAGGTTCAGGTTCTATGTGTCAGTTTGGAAATATGTTCTCTGGGTTGTTGTGAGGATGGGTGAGAGTTGTGGGGATTCAGTGGGAAAACTGTGTGTAGAGTCTGTAGACTACGAAGCACAGTAAAAATAGGCAGGCCTGGTTGCCACCTGCTGTGGCTCTCCAGCTGGGCCTGTCGACCTCTAGGAACTTCATTTCTCACCTCAAAGTGGAGGTGGTAACAGCGCCCAGGGGTAGGTATGTGTGGGCACTGGGCGGGAGAGGCAGCCCTCCTTGGGAACTGTCAGCACCTGTGTGCAGTGCTGGGGCATCTCCTCCAGTCTCTGCTCTGTTGTCCTTCCCACCCATCAGCCAGGGCCCTTTTCCCTGGACACCAGGAGGTCTAGAGGTTGGGAGGTCTCCATGCCCAGTGCAGGGCCTGAGTTTGAGATGCCAAGGTGCCTCCTGTAGCTGGAGGGCAGTACCCCCAACATCCAGGCTGTGGCATGGCTGCCAGCTCTCTGCGAGGTGCCTCAGTTGTGTAGGAGCTGAGGTGACCTGCACTGGCACGGCCCTCCCCTCCCCGCCCGTTGAGAAGTGGTGGCGGAGAGCCCAACCTCAGCCCAGGAGGGAGATTTCTTTGCCCTCCGCACTGCCCTTGAGCTGCCTTCTGGAGGAATTGTTGCCATCCCTGTGAGATACTGGGTTTGGCTGTGACCTTCCTGCCCCTTTTCCCAGTTCTCTCCCTCTCTCTGTCCCATGTCTGCTCTCTGGTGGCCTTGAATCCCAGGAGAGTAATGTATCTTGATGTCCTCATCTGTGACCTGATCTTTCAGACACAGAGGCCTCAGGGTTGCACCTTGTCACACAGTTTTCAATCAGTTGGCAGGCATCTGAGTAGACCTACTGTGTGACCGACAGGGAGGGCCTCTGTAGTCCTCTGCAGGACTGGGCTTTGGGGAAGGCTACTGCCCACTTATTCTAGGCCTTGGCCAAGCAAATAATGCCACCCCTTCTCTCCCTGGTCTCTTCCAGAACGGTAGCAAAGACAGCTCTCTGGACATGCTGGGCACGGATATCTGGGCTGCCAACACCTTTGATTCCTTCAGGTAAGTCCTCTTCCTCCTGTCTGTGGTGGCGGCTCCACCTGGGACCCCAGCTTACTTGCCTTTATGCCCTGTGGGGCCTTTGGGGGCTGGGTAGAGGCTGAGAGTTCACCAGTCAAGAAGTGGAGAGCAGTAGAGAGGCGAGTGGGCTAGGAAGGGTGAGGCTGCAGAGGAAGCAGGTCAGAGGAAAGAGGAGGTCCAAGGTGGGAGGGTGAGGGAGACATCCGCAGAAAAAGAGAGGAGACAGGGAGGTAGTGGGAAACGAGGGTGGAGGGAAAGGGAAGACAGAAGCTGACAGTCCACCCACAGGGCAGCAGGAGGGAAGGCGGAGGAGGACGGTGGAGGTGGAAGGCAACCTGTGTCAGAGTCAGGGACAGATAGCTGTGACCACAGACCCCCACCCCTCCCACCTGCACTCACAAGGGCTAGGCAGCTGGCTGCAGAGAGGTCTGGAGGAAGGAAGGATTGTCCATGGTTCATACTCTAGAAAGTTCCTGATGGGCCAGATTAGAAAAATAGGTATTGGCCACAGTTCCTCAGGACGTGGGGATGGTGCCTCTCAAGGGTTTGCTAATGGGAGCCTGCCATGGCATCCACTCCGATGGAGAGTGACAGCTTTGGGCCATGAATGGCAGTGGCCCTTGGGCTGAACTCCTTCCCTGGCCCTACAGCGGGTCGACACTGGGCTTGCCCCGGCACACCCCTGGCTGGGACTCAGGCTCACCCAGCATGGAAGTGCTGTGGGGTCTCCGGGACTGGAACCTGGGAGGCCTGGCCTGTTTCCCCATGAACTCCTACCTCAGAGCTACCTTGTGGATATTTGAGCTGCTGTCAGAGGCTCTAGTGACAGGTTTTGGCTTGCTTTCTCCAGCCTTTCTCAAGTGTGGGTGTGAAAACAAACTCCAAAGTGTTTTAGGGGGACTGCTGTAGAGTAGGGATCAGGTGCACATGTGTTTTAGAGGCACGCATCACCGTACAGTGGGATGGGAGAGAGGTGAGGGCTTCACGGGCAGCCCCCTGCCCCATTGTACGGGAGCACAGACAGAGCTGACACCTCAGCCTCCATTCCCAGAAAGGGGTTCCTGCCGACCCTGCCCTTGCCTAGGGGGGGGGTCCTTCCCTTCTGTCTGCGTCTTTCTGAGGACATTTCCCTGCCAGGGTTGTGCTGGGATGTGTGGTCCCCATCAGTAATTGGGCTTGTGCCCCGCTTTTCCTCGCATTTCTCACCCTCCCTCGCCCTCTAGTGGTGCCACCTGGGACCTGCAGCCTGAAAAGCTGGACTTCACCCAGTTCCACCGGAAGCTGCGGCACACGCCTAAGCAGCCCCTGCCACACATCGACCGTGAAGGGTAAGGGGCGGCCAGAGGGCCATTACACAGGGGCAGGGTGGGGTTGGGGACAGCTGTGGCTGTACTGGGGCGGAGAGGGGCCCTCCCCTGGGCAGGCAGGCGTCCCTGCTACACAGTTGGCTGATGTTCAGGGAGGCAGTCCACCCAGCACTGCAGGCTCACTGCTGTCTCTCCAGAAACTCCACCCTTCATTGGTCAGCCCCTCATGCCCCGCTGCCCAGTCCTCTTCCTGACCACCCAGTGGCCCTGTAATCAGTAATCAGAGCTCACACTTGGCCAGAACCGGAGGCTCCTCAAAACAGCTGAACGCCCTGAGCTCTGGATCAGGAAGTCTGGGATAGGACCTGAGAATTTGCATTTCTAACAAGTTCCCAGGGAATGCTGACGCAGCTGGTCCAGGGACCCCACTTTGAGAACCACTGGTGCAGTGGCTGATTTTACACCAGGTTATCTCCCTCCACTTATTTCATGTATCAAATGTTGCCTTCTCCTTTTAAAGTCGGTGTCAGGGCCTGGGATGACCTCAGGACAAGAATGTGACTCCAGCCAGATGCAGACGGTTTCTTTTCTTTCTTTCTTTTTAAGATAATTTTTATTGAGGTAAAATCCATGTAACAGAAAATTAGCCATTTTAAGGTGTTCATTTCAGGGACATTTACTACATCCATCACATTGTGTAACTACTACCTCTAGCTGGTTCTAAATCATTTCCAACACCCCAATATAAACCCAAACCCATTACACAGGTATTCCCCCTTCCCCTCTCAGGCCTGGCAACCTCCAGCTGTCTTTGATCTGGCAACCTCCAATCTTTCTGTTTCTATGGACTTACCTCTTTTGGATATTTATATAAATGGAATCATAGGTGGTCTTCTGTGTCTGGCTTCTTTACTGACATAATATTTCCAGGGTTCATATACATCATAGCATATATCAGTATGCTCTTCCTTTTCATGGCTGAATAATATTCCATTATGGCTATACCACCATTTTTTAATCCGTTCATCTGCTGATGGACATTTGGGTTGTCTTCCCCTTTTAGCTTATTGTGAATAATGCTGCTATGAACATTCATGTACGAGGATTTGCTGGAGCCTTTGTTTTCAATTCTTCTGAGCATGTGCCTGGGAGTGGAATTGCTAATGGTCCAATTCTGACACCAATTCCAGTGTGTTCTTTTTTCCCATTACCACCAAACAATACTCTGACATTAGCTGAGTGTCCTACAATTCAAACTCAGTTCTGATACTGTCTGCCTGGAGATAGTGTCAGATCCCACGGGTTAAAGGTTAGGTCCTATAAAATGCCCTCCTCCCCCAGACTTCAGGCACCAATTGCAAGTCTTGGTCATCACCTGCGCTTCTGGCTGATTGGCTATAAATAGGCTGTTCCAAGGGCCTCTCCCTCCAATTCAATTAATTTTCTAGAGAAACAGAAGCCAGAGAAACATCCTAATAGATCACTGGTTTATTATAGAGAGATAGAACTCAGGAATGGGCAGATGGAAGAGACGTACAGGGCGAGATGTGGGGGAAGGATGAAGGGTTTCCTTGTCCTCTCCCAGCACCTCCATGTGCTCACCAACCTGGAAGCTCTCAGAACCCCCGCCTTTTAGGGTTTATGGAGGCTTCATTACAAAGGCACAATTGATTAAATCATTGGCCATTGCGTTTGGTTCAACTACACCCCATCACCCCCTCTGGATATCTGGACTGAAAGTCCCAACCCTCCAATCATACAGCAAACCAGACCCCCTCCTTAGGTGGCCTCCAGACATGCCAAAAGTTGCCTCATTAATACAACAAGAGAACTTTTATCTCTCTGACCGCTTAGGAAATTCCAAGGATTTTAGGAGCTCTGTGCCAGGACTGGGGATGGAGACTAAATATATCTCATTACAGAAATCACAATATCACACACGGTAATTCTATGATTTAACTTTTTGAGGACCTGCCAAACTGTTTCCCACAGCAGCTGAATATTTTACATTCCCACCAGCAATGCACAGGGGCTCCAATTACTCCACATCCTCGCCAACACTTGTTATTTTTCCTTTTTTAAAATTACACTGATGGCTTTTATTTTTCCTTCTAATCCTTCCTTGCCCCATCACTTCCAGTCTGAACATAAGTGATACTGTTAACTACTTCCCGGCATCTCACCTGTTCTCTGCCCCACCCCACCCCACCCCACCCCAGGTGGTCACCCTTTCTCTTAGCAACACTGCTGTCCCCAGTGCAACCACTTCAGAAGGCAGATGTTTCCATCCCTATTACAGAGACGAGAGAAATGGAGTTCAGAGAGGCAAAGTAACCTGCCTAGGTAGCAGAGCCATGATTTCAGGCCTTCTGATGCCACAGTATCCTTGAATCAGCTAACTCCCTTAAAATTGTAGGCAAAATTATGTTCACATGAATGTATTCTGGGAAAAAGCCCATCACTTGAATCAGACTCTCCCAGGGGACCCCAGCCTCTTACCTTGCCTCCTCTTTTCATCACCCTGCATGTGTGGGTTCATTCAGAACTCTTGGGGTTGATTTTATTTGGGTGGAGAAGGGAGATGGCGTTAAACTGGAGGCGTCCTGTTAGGAGACAGAGCGAAGTGGAGGCTGGACCCTGAGGCTCCCTTGGCCTGCCTCACACCCAGCTGCCCTTCTCTGCACACTCAAGCCTCCCGTTCAACAGCAGTGAGGCCGTTTTCCTCCTGAGCTGCTGGGCAGCACAGGGCACACTGCTCTCCATACTCTGAGTCTAGGAAAGCTGACCTTCCCTCAGCAGGTCAAGTTCAGGAGCTGATTTCCAGCATATGATGCTTCCTACCTGTCCTGCTGGGGAAGCTAGTTAGAGCTTGGGCTGCACCATGGGAACTAGGTTACTGAGAGGAACACACAGATACTGTATAAAATAAGGTCCCCAGAGGGACTGTTCACTCTGCTGTTAAAAGGAGACGTGAACCCATTCATGACTGAGACTGTAAGGAAAAAAGACTTGTTTGATGTAGACGTTCAGAGTGTGGGCTTCATGAAATTAGTTACCGGGTGTGCAGTTCAACAAAGTAAATGTGAAGGGGTTAAAGAAGAGAGCATTTTGGGGGAATGAAGTGTCTGGGGAAGACTTCTGGAAAGAGATGGCATTTTCCTAGGACACTCCCATCCCTCCTGTGTCCCTTGGGAGCACATGGATGGCAAAACCAGTGGGGAAACTGAGGCCCAGAGACAGAAGCGATATCGCCGCTTCATAGACTGAAGGGGTCCAATCGGGAATGCGAACTAAGTCAAGCTTTCCGAAGGTGTCTACGCCAGTTCACGCGCATTCACATCCTAGCAAAATCCTATTTGGCAGTAGCAATACGTGACCCTCGGGGGAGGAAATGTTCCCCATGTGCCAAGAGCCGTTGTCCTTTCTGGAGCCAGAGGAACCGCTTTCCAGCTCCAGGCCAGCTCACCCGCTCACAGGAGCCTGCCAGACTCAGGGTCATCCCAGACACACAGCTGTCTGGCCAAGTCCTGTCTCTCTCAGGTTGCTGAGGGAGGTCAGGTACCGTGTCCAGCAGCCCCCTGTGGCTAAACCAGGAACTGTGTCACCCTTAAGAGTCCTGCCATCCTGGGGACAGAGTCCACATGCCCAGCCACTGCAGCATCCCTTGGAAGCAGGGTACCTCTGGGTTGCCAAGGCTTCCCACAGCCCATGTTTCCGTGGAGGGACAGAAATTGCAGAAGATGGTTGCCCTGGAAACCCTGTTGACAGCAGTGACTCAGCTGGTCTGTAGCAAGCAACCTTCTGCTGCTCTCTGAACCTGCAGTCCCGAGCCCTGAGCTCCAGATGGGGCAGGCCTGGGGGGCAGCAGCCCTCATGGCTCACGGCCCACTGACGACCCCAGGGGCTGCCAAGGTGACAATGTAAGGCCAAATCTGTGCTCTGCCAGGCTGGTACCCAGAGTGTGGTTGGGTCCAGAGGTGCTTTATGAGCATGCGACCTGGGGGAGGGGTTATCAGCCATCCCAATAGGCCAAGAGCCCCCAGCCCTCTCCTCCCCCACTGCCGTGGCGTGTACACAGCACAGATGACTGCAAGCAGCTGGAGCCTTCACAGGCCAGCCCATCTCTCTTCCAGGCAGATTTGTTAGTTAAAAGGTGGTTGGATGTTTCTAGACCTTTCTCCACGTCCTCTTCTGCAGCCTATCACATGGAGAGGCTCCCGTCAGGACAGAGGAAGAAAGAACTCTCCTCTTTTCCCTCAAGCCCACCCATTATACCCTTACCCCGCTCTACCCCAGCTCCATCTCCCAGAACCAGAGCTGTCCTCCCAGCCCAGCCCTCTAGGGCTGTCTTGCCCTTTTGCACACCCCCTTTTGCCCCCTCCACACCCCTCTCCAGTCACTTAAATGCTGATGTCCCTGCTGGCAACACGCTTGCACCTTAGCTCCGGGCCTTTGTCCTGCTGCCCTCTGCCTGGGACATCCGGCCAGATTCTTGACTTGGCCAGCTCACAACCCATCTCCCTCCCTCTGCTCCAGAACGTTCAGGAAGCTGCTGATGCTCTGGATTCCTATAGCGTCCTCTCTAGACCCCAGCTTAGCACTGCTACCGTGCTGTGGCACTAGAGGCCCCGTCTAATCCTTGTTTACACCAGAGCTCAGCCTGGGCAGGAGCCCTGCTGGGGTGTAAGCTCTTGTTTTATGGGGGTATAAGTTATACTCTCTTGCACCCAAGCCTTGCTGGGTTTCACAGCCACCCTATTTCTCTTCCTCGGGGTTTCAGGGCTCCTCTGTCCCCAGGACTTTAATAACACTTATCGTGTGCTGCCCCTTACTGGTGCTCAGGCTTGCAGCCCTGCTAGATGAGCTTAGGCCGTGTTTCTTAAGAGCTGTGTGCTGTCTGAGGGCAGAAGCCACACAGGATTTATTTGCCAGGACCCCAGGGGAGGTTGACAGGGCCAAAAATATGAGATGTTCCGCAAATATTGAACAGATAAGCTAATCTCTGCAGCTGCAAAATGCTGCCACCAGCCCACTGGGCAGCCCTCACCATCCTTTGGTTAATGATAACAATAACAATAGTAGAAACTGATACTTAACTATGCACAGGGTTGCCCAGTTAGTAAGGGATGCAGCTGGGTTCCAACCCTGGCAGGCTGGTTCCAGAGCCTGCACCTTAAATATGCAGAAGACAGGGACCTTTGCCAGCAAACAGCCCAGCATCTCTGTTCTGATGGTGTGCCTGCCCACAGAGAATGTGAAGACAGGGCATCACCATTTGTGTGGGCTTGTTGACTGGCCCAAAGGCAGGCCAAGGAGGGAGGAAGCTCCGCTGGGGGCCTGTGTGACCTTGAGAAAGTTGCTTAGTCTCTGTTCATTTATTTTCCCTTTGGTGTAATGGGACATCATGCTGGGCTCTTGCAGGAGCTCTGACAGGCTTTGGGATACTCATCAGCAAGAAGCTGGGTGTCTTTGCCTGGGAGGGCCAAGGGAAACTCTGGTACCAGTCTCCCCATAGGATGGGTGCCACACTAGTGCTCACCTGCCCCCACCGGCTGGTGCCAGCGTTCCTGCCTGCACAAAGGGCTTGAGGCAGGATCTGTGTTGTCGGGCTTGGAGTGGGACAGGCTGATCTTGCAGGCCTTGAGGGAGGCAGGCCCAGGGTCTTCTGACTGCCCCTGCTCAACTGTTTGCAAGGCCAGGGCAGGATGCATGAATGCGCTGACTTCTTGATGCTTTTCTTTCTTTTCTGATCCAGGTGTGGAAAAGGGAAGCTGGAAGATGGGGATGGGATCAACCTGAATGACATTGAGAAGGTCCTCCCAGCCTGGCAGGTAGGTACAGGGGCAGAGTCTCCAACGTCCTGACCCTCAGCCTGCACAGGGTCTATGCTTCTTGCCCCAGGAGGGGAAACTAATGGACTGCCTTGGTAGGCAGTTTGGGTGGGTACCTGCCGAGGCCCAGGGTACCCCAGCGATGTGTGTGTCTGCTCCGGCTGTGCTGTGGGCGCTGGTGGCAGGCCCGGCGGCCCCCAGAGATGAACTGGGCCATGTACTGACAACTTTGCATGCTTGGAAATTTTTGCCCCTTGACCTGAAATCTCCGCGGGTGAGGCCTCCTGCCATGGTTGCCATGGGACTGACAGGGCTGCTGTGGTGTCTAACGTGGTCAAGGCCATTTTTAGGGTTTTGGAAAGTGGAGTTGTCCTGCCAGCCCCAGGTACCTGCTGTACATGCTGATTTTATCATTAACTAGGCCCCTTTCCCTGAATTGGGCCAGGCTCTGGGACAAGAGGATTTGCGCAGCAAAGAGACTTCAAATCTGAGTTTCTAGATGGTTCTGGTGCTGGTCTTTGGGCAGAAACAGTGGGCGTCTAGCTGCTCCCAGGTGTGCGCTGGGCCTGCTGCAGGGCAGTGAGAGCAGCAGAACCTCTGGGTGACTGAGCCTGTCCGGCCGGGGACCTGCCACCACCCTCACTGTGTCACCCTTTCCTTCTCTTCCGAATCTCTTCACCTGCACCCATTCTTCCCTTCCTGCCCCCCTTGCTTTCCCATTTTGTTTTTTCAGTGGTCATTCCTTGGGCCCATTAATGAGAGAAAATGGAATGAATAGTTAACGCCTCAGCAATCTGATTAGGAAGTGCCTTGGTTGGTTTTCGCTCAAGTTTCTTGCACCTGGGGTTTAATGTATTTCATGGACTTGTAGGTTTATCGTTTGTATCAAATTTGGCAGTTTTTCAGCAATTATCTTCCCCCAACCTTCAATATTCCAATTTCCTGAAGCTTTTCTGAAGTGTTTTTTTTCTCTCTGTGTGTCATGTTCGGTAGTTTCCATTGCTGTGTCTTCAAGTTCACTAGTCATTTTTTGCAAGGTCTAATTTACTGTTACTCCTGCCCAGTACATTTTTCATTTCAGATATTGTATTATTCACATCTAGAAGTTCAGTCTGGGTCTTTTTCTTTATATCTTCCATTCTCTCTTCTTTGTGCAAAATTATATGCTTTCTCCCATCTTCCTGAGCATATGGAATATATTTAGAGCTGTTTTAAGGGCCTTCACTACTAATTCTGTGATCCATGTCATTTAACAGTCTCTCCCTAACAATTGATTTTTCTCTTGTGAATGGGTCCTATTTCCTTTGCATGGCTGGTCATTTTATATTAGATGCCAGATATTAGGAATTTTACATTTTGGGTGCTGGACTTTTGTTTGTACTCATTGAAATATTTTGGACATTGTTCTGGAACACAGTTAAGTCACTTCAAAACAGCTTGATCCTTTCGAGGCTTGTTAGGTGGGAAGCTTTTAGTCTACAGCAACTTTTGCTCCTCTACCGAGTCAATAACCCTTCTGAGGTTGCTACCCAATGCCTGGTGGATTAGGAAGTATTTCTACTTGTCTGCTGGGAACATAAACTACTTCCAGCCCTATGTGATCTTGAGGAATTGTTCCATCTGTTCCTTCCAAGTAGCTTTTTACAGCTCTAGATGTTTCTCACACACATGCACAAATTAGCACTAAGCCAAAGACTCAAGGGTCTGCAGATTTCTGGATTTCTCTCTCTGTGGAGCTCTCTCCTCTTTCATTCCCTAGTTGCCTTGGACTCCCTGAATTTTGAACTCTGTTCCTTTAACTCATTGAGACCACTGGCTCTGTTTAGAGTTTTCTCCCTTTGTGGCAGGCTAGAAACTTTCCAGGCACCAGACAGGGACACACATAGGGCTCACCTCATTGCAAAGGGAAGTGTGACTTCATGGTGGACAAACCTGGCAGGCTCTGCCTTGACCAGGTGATGGAGGCCAACATCATTAGCGATGGGATGGATGGATGCCGTGTGTTCCCTGATGTGCTGCATGGAGAAAGCCCAACATCATTTCTAGTGTTTTCCTTCCAAGAAAGCATGGCCTGAATCTGGTCATAAGGAAACAGATGTGAGATCCATTCTCAAAAACTGCTTGGATATGAAAATCAGGGGAAAACTGAGGAATCTTCCAGATTGGAGGGGACTGAAGAGGCTAACCAAATGCGGTGTGTATTCATTGCTGAGATCCTGGACCAGAAAGCAACAGAAACCTTGGACTCTTTTTCTTTATATCTTCCATTCTCTCTTCTTTGTGCAAAATTATATGCTTTCTCCCATCTTCCTGAGCATATGGAATATATTTAGAGCTGTTTTAAGGGCCTTCACTACTAATTCTGTGATCCATGTCATTTAACAGTCTCTCCCTAACAATTGATTTTTCTCTTGTGAATGGGTCCTATTTCCTTTGCATGGCTGGTCATTTTATATTAGATGCCAGATATTAGGAATTTTACATTTTGGGTGCTGGACTTTTGTTTGTACTCATTGAAATATTTTGGACATTGTTCTGGAACACAGTTAAGTCACTTCAAAACAGCTTGATCCTTTCGAGGCTTGTTAGGTGGGAAGCTTTTAGTCTACAGCAACTTTTGCTCCTCTACCGAGTCAATAACCCTTCTGAGGTTGCTACCCAATGCCTGGTGGATTAGGAAGTATTTCTACTTGTCTGCTGGGAACATAAACTACTTCCAGCCCTATGTGATCTTGAGGAATTGTTCCATCTGTTCCTTCCAAGTAGCTTTTTACAGCTCTAGATGTTTCTCACACACATGCACAAATTAGCACTAAGCCAAAGACTCAAGGGTCTGCAGATTTCTGGATTTCTCTCTCTGTGGAGCTCTCTCCTCTTTCATTCCCTAGTTGCCTTGGACTCCCTGAATTTTGAACTCTGTTCCTTTAACTCATTGAGACCACTGGCTCTGTTTAGAGTTTTCTCCCTTTGTGGCAGGCTAGAAACTTTCCAGGCACCAGACAGGGACACACATAGGGCTCACCTCATTGCAAAGGGAAGTGTGACTTCATGGTGGACAAACCTGGCAGGCTCTGCCTTGACCAGGTGATGGAGGCCAACATCATTAGCGATGGGATGGATGGATGCCGTGTGTTCCCTGATGTGCTGCATGGAGAAAGCCCAACATCATTTCTAGTGTTTTCCTTCCAAGAAAGCATGGCCTGAATCTGGTCATAAGGAAACAGATGTGAGATCCATTCTCAAAAACTGCTTGGATATGAAAATCAGGGGAAAACTGAGGAATCTTCCAGATTGGAGGGGACTGAAGAGGCTAACCAAATGCGGTGTGTATTCATTGCTGAGATCCTGGACCAGAAAGCAACAGAAACCTTGGACAGTTGGAGAATGTGAATGGGATCTGTGGATGGGGCTGTAGTGTTGCTCAGATGTCCGTTTCCTGAGTTAGAAGACTGCATGATGCTCAGGTTGGCAAGAGTCCTTGTTTTTGAGAAATACAATGTTTGAGGGAGGTGGGGCCTCATGTCTGAAGCTTGTCCTCAAATGGTTTGGAAGAAGAAAAAGATAATGGGTATGTAGATACATTGATGGAGAGGAAACAAAATGTGGTGACGTATTAACAGCTGGGGAAACTGAGTGAGGTGCATAAGGGAGTTCTTCAGACTTTCTATAAGTCTAGAGAAAAAAGAATCAGTAGGGCCTAGGGTGTGGTGTGCAGGCCAACGTCATGGAATACCAGTTCATGACATACCCTTTGGGCAGGAACTGTATTAAATTATCACAGCTAGTGTAAAGCTAGCCTTGGGGCAAAAGATAAAAAGAGTAAAGTACTCAGAAATTACCATTTTATTGCTCTATTCCCAAATGCCTACAGCATTCATTAAAGATAGAAAAAATACATTTGAGAGACACCTGTAGGGAGGAACCAGATGCCCCTGCTTTGGAAGAGGTGTCCACTCCTTGGTGGCCTTTGAGCCGGAAGCCTGGGGTGCTCTGGCAGTAGAATAACAGGTCGGACCACTTTTTCCTTGTTGGGTGACTGTCTCCTAGCTCCCTTTCATTCCTGCTCCGTGGGAAAGGAGAGCTGGGTCCCTGGTTACAGGGAAGCAGAGTTCAGAGGTTAAAGGCCTGGTGTTTGGACCCCTGACATTGACATCCTGGCCCTGCCACTGACTAGCCAAGGAGTTGTTGGGCTTGTTACTCAGCTTGCTCTGACTCAGTTTCCTCCTGGGTAAAAAGAGGGTGACGATACCTAGTTCTAGAGTTGTTGGGAAGATTGCGTACACAAGTGCATGTGAAGACTGAGAACAGTGCCTGGCACATGGCAGGTGCTCCCAGAGCCCATGGGCTCACCCAGAACCTGCCTTTTATGAATGGTTGCATTTGAAGAAATCACTCCACTACTAAACAGTTTTGAAAATCATCAAACCAAGGTCCCTCCCAGGTTTCAGGTTTCATATTCTAGGGTTTTCTCTCTTCCTTACAGGGACAGTCAATCAACAAGCGCTCTTGGTTCTCCAGGGCCCACGGGACGGGCTGCCAGTAGTAGAGATGTTCACTCCTCGTCTCTATTTTTAGTTTGGATCCACACAGTGAAAGGGTTTTCACACACACACACACACACACACACACACACACACACACCACTTCAAACCAGTTTTGCCCTCTGAACACTATCAACGATCCACACACTGAAAGGGTTTTGATACACACACACACACACACACACACACACACCACTTCAAACCAGTTTTGCCCTCTGAACACTATCAACAGATGAGTCCCTAAGCTCATGGTGTTGAGCCTGGGCTGCCTGGGACACTTAAGTCCACAGGTTTCTGGGTCTCACCCTAAAAACCCACTGCATTAGTTATCTATTTCCATGTAATAAATTGCTCAAAATTTAACAGCTTGAAGCATAGACATTTATTATCACACATACTTCCTGAGGGTCAGGAATATGGGAGCACCTTAGCTGGGGGTTCCGGCTCAGGGCCTCTGCT